GCTCCCGGAGAACTCGCTGCCTGGGCGCAAGGCACGGGGGCTATTTATATTTTTAAAATATCCCTTACATATTACCGTCAAACTTTTAAAATTTGAATAAGTAAATTTTAATATAATAAATGTCTATTGGAATAGTCAATTTTACTTTGTCCATTTTAAAACCTTGTTCTGAGAAGGGATTCCACAGATGTCACCAGGCCATCAACAGGGTCCCTGACACTACAAAAGTCCCCACCACCACATTTCTTACTCAAGGTCCTGACCCTCAGGATTGTCTAGACAGGAAACTTGTACTTGAGCACTTCAGACAACCAGAGCCAATTTATACCTATACACCCCTGTTGGTAACAGAGAAAATGTCTAAAATATGAGGCAAATAACACATTTATCTTTGTACTCTTTCTGAGCTGGTTAGAAGAGATTGACAAGTTCCCCATCTTTTCTTTAAAATGATTCCCAGGGCTCTTTTCCATGTCTCTCCGGTTTCATAGTTAGCCCAGACCTCTTATTTTGATAATTAAATGCAAAGGCCTCTTATTTTGATAACTAAAACATAAGCTAAGTTGACAGTGTAGGAGTGCAACACAGCAACTGCTTACAGTTTCAGTTGAAGGTCCAGGCAGAATGGCCTGCTGGATAAGAAAAGACATGGAGTAGACATTCCTTTCAAATGTATTCATTTTTCAAGTAACACTAAATAAAAGTAAATATCCCTGTGGAACATTATTATATAATTTCTTTACCTCAAATTTTAACCACCTCGTGTTTTAAACAACAGTGTTGCAGCTCATTTTTTGCCAGAGCTAATATTCAGCCAAATACCATAAGATCCAAGTACATCCTTCCACAAACGTAAAACATGTGAAAAACTAGTCACAGAAAGCAGGAGCTCTGATGCTGAAGAGAACAGAATGACCAATTTGCAAGCACTTGCTGACCAAGAAGAGGCCTTAACCTGAAGTGAAATTACCCACAGACAGAAGATCACAACATTCAAAATTTCTTGCAAATTTATTTATTTTTTTTCTGGTATAAACTGCACTTGTTTGTGTGAAATGTGGTTATATACACTAGGCAGGGTAGAGAAATAAGATTTATATATTCCAAAGCACATCTCTGAAAATAAATTATTTTTACATCCAAACTCCTTTTCTTCAGCTTTGCCTGCTTCATGTTTTCCTCCTTTTACTTTTAAAATAAAAAAAAAAAAAAAATACATTCGAATCTTCACTAAAAGGAAAAAAAAAGTCTCATCCTGTTCTCTCGTGCTAATGACTTCCTTAAGCTCCTCTTCTCCCTTTCAAATGAGGTGACTTCTTTCCTCTTCTCCATGGGGCCACTGCTCCTGATGATTTGTGATCACGGCTGTCATCATCTTCTGTTACCTCAGATCTTCCCTGCTCACCTTTCCTTCAGCTGCCTTTTCTTCTCCTTATATCATGCTCTAGATGTTGTTTCCTCCTCCCTACAATCAATGAGCAGTTGTTCTTTCTGGATTCTTTCTTGAGGCACTGGCTAGATCCAAGACCAGGAGCTATCATGGTAAGCCTTCTGTTCTGCCTTTAGCAAGTGAAGGGTCCCACTGCATGATCACACACACATAAACACGGATACACACACATACTTCATCCTAGGCACAGCTCATCTCCAGTAAATGTCATCTAATGAATAATCTGTACTATACTAATTACTCATGAACATTAACCATAGATTTTTTTCATATAATCCTACTGCCTATCCCTCACAGCAAATATTTAATCATTAGGGTTCACAGACAAAATATACAACAAAATCAGTAAAATGTTTTATCCATACAGTGAATGATACAATTATCATTATAGTTAGGATCTTGCCCTAAAAATTTACAGAGAGCTTCTCCATGTCAATGAAATGAAATCTTGCAGGCTGATGCTTCTGCTGGTCACATCAACACTTAACACCTGTTGAGAAACAATGAAAAAGTATTGGGCATTTGCTATGTGAACTTTCCTGACCACATATAAATCAAGTCCTCACAACTATAATACACAACCACTGAAGACAATGACTGCGCAGACAAATCAGAGAGGTTGCCTTCTTTGCACACTTCTCAAGTGCTAATTTTCCTTGGAGTGCTCCTATTATTTTCTGTTTTCCTATTCCCGAATAGAACCCTGGAAGAATTTAATATTTCTGCTTTTTCCTAGGCAAACAATTCCCAGAAGGTCTCACTGTGTGTGCATGTGTTAGATCATAGATCAATCCAAGAGCTGGCTCACAACAGAATTGGGCAAAGTCCTCTAAGAACTCCCAGTGAAGTTGGAGACCTCAGGTGCCAAGAAACCCACAGTATAAGGAAACAAAACTGCAAAACTAAAAGCAACTTTCGTTTCAGATCTAGAAATCGGAAAATATTATGTTAAAAAAATAGTATGAAGTAAATCCACAAGAAAGAAAGGTTCCATTTACCATCAGAATACTAGGTGTCAGCATCAAACTATTTGTTAATACCAAAGTACAAATTTATCTCATATTTAACATTTATAAAATTAGAATGTGTCTTGTAACCAACAGCAATTAGAATTACTGTGAGCAATACTAATGATGTAATTGTCATTGTCGGTGAGGTGTAAACTTCATTGCTATTATTAGCATTATAAGTGGATTATTTTAGGACCTGGGCATGGTGGCATATCCCTGTAATCTCAGAACTTGCAAGGCTGACGCAGGAGGATCACTACGGGTTTGAGGCCAGCCTGGACTATAGTGAGTTCAAGGCCAGCCTGAACAACATAGTGAGACCCCGTGATTTTTTTGAGTGAGATTCTCAAAAAAACAAAAACAAAAATGTGGAATGATCCACACCCTCTGTAGCAGAAATATTTAACCAATTTGTATCACATATTTTTTCTTTTAAATAATAAAGCACTGATTATAAAATAATAAAGATATTATAACACAAATCTAAATAAGAAAAATATTTATTACAAACTATTAAGGTATTTTTTAAGAACTTAGGTTATAGGAAAATATTATCTCATAATTTTGTCATTCTTTCACATAGTAAGCATTTCTAGCTGATGGTGTGTCATACTTGAAAGATGATAGTTCAAATTATCCTGAAAGATGGTCTCTAAGATAAGAGAATAAATACACAAAGCTTCATGTAAGTTTACAGACAAGAAGACCAATTGTGGAAAATAAGAATCCAGACTTTCAACTCCAAATATGGATAAATCATCAATATTCCCTTCATCTCTATACTGTCCACAGTTGAGTGAAAGTAGAGATTTCTGGAGGGTTTTACAGGAGAGGATGTCACTTGGAAAGGAAATAGGCCTTGCACATAGCATGTCAGGTGGGGACCAACACTCGTCTTTCACTGGACACAAACCTGTGTTGTAGGGTTGTAGTTGACAGGGAGTGTTGTTTCCGTGTCCCTCACAGAGATGGTCACGCTGCTAATAGAGGCACTGCCCACTCCCCAGATTTCAATGTAGCCCAGTATCAAAGGGTTTGTATCCATGATGTAATTGTTTAAAATTACATGGCTTTGCATTGTATTCTGTCAAATTGAAAACAAAGAAAAATAACAAAATGAGTTCAATTATTCCCAATATCTTTTTAGGCACAAATGTGGATGCTGAAGTGAGTTGTGTCCTTAGATAGTGAAACCATGATTTCAGCATCCTAGCTTCTGTCATCAAGTAGCATCTACTCTGCATTGGCACCTGCAGGTTCTCTGGCATTGCTCTGAACTCTACACAAGACAGAGCCTCCACTAATATTCCACATGTGGGGGAGTCACAAAACATTCAGACCTATCCAAGGCAAGACAGGAACAGGGCTGGCTGATATAGACACAATCTACCCATCTGTGAAATGGTGAACTGAGATAAGTTACTGACAAGACCTGCATAGGTTCAGCCACCATAGCTTTCCTGGGACCCAGACAAAGTCTCCATCTGAAATCTGGAGGAAGGGAAGGATGTGAATTAGCACCATGAGCAGGGTGGGAATCTTTGATGGTATTTTGTTCCCATATGACAACAAGCATCTATAAGTCAATATACCTCTGCACCCCTTTCTTTATCAGTCACACTCACCTGGATGACAGAAAATCTGGCCAAATAATAGAGTCCTTTTTCATAGGAATCTGCAAACAAACAACAAGGTAAATACACCCTCGACCCCCAGGAGAGAATTCTAATTACCTACTAGCCTTCATTGAGAGAGAGGGATTATTTTTATCTGATTATTTTTTATCTTTCTTCTTTGCATAGTTCCATTTCATAACCTAAATCTTCTTTATGAAGTCTGTCAGACTCTGCACCCAACCACAGCTAACATAAAACGTTTGAAATAAGTGAATAGATGCATGTTTCTGACACAGTAATTTCGATAATGATTCCTAAACTCACTGGTAAATCACTTCTCTTCCTTGAGATTGGCCCCACCCAACATCTTTCTAGTTGCTTCTGAATTCCAGATTCTTTTTGTTAGATGTGTATGTGTGTATACACGCAGACACTTACACGTTCATAAATACCGAGATGGGGTCTCAGTGGGTTTATCTTGAGATTTATTAGGCAGTTTTTAAATGCGGTCACCAGGGGCTTTAGACTAGCTCTCTTTGTTCCTTACCCTTAATGTGTGGCAATTCCCCAGGGGAGTATGAAGGAGCTATGTTGTGGGTACCCCCATCCTCCTCCCTCCCACATGACTCTCACCCTTCCCCATGTGCTGGTCTCTTCCTCATTCACGTGTCACTCTGTTAGCCCCCAGAGTCTATCTTCTAGAACTGAGCCATCCAAGACAAAAGCCACCAGAAAACTGTAGCTACATAATTTTAAATTAATTAAAATTAAAATTTAGCTGCTCAGATGCACTTGTCACATTCAAGTGCTTGATAGCCATATACGCTTAATACTACATTGAACAGCACAAGATATAGAACATTTCTACCACTGCAGAGAGTCCTACTGGACAGCACTGGTCTAAAAATAGCTAATGATCCTTGAGTCATTCCCCTAAGAAGTTATTAATTCCTGTAAACTTCTAATGAAAAATTCCCCATAAATAGCACAACTGATAAGAGACATTGTCTTGCTGGGACAGTAAACCATGTAATTAGGAAATGTACCTTTGATCACCAGCCATATAAAATTTATCTGGCCACAAATTAACTGAAGTCTGGCAAAATGAATTAGGACACTCAAGTACTGGTGAGAGATTCAGTGCTAAAACTCATTTACCTAAATCATAATAATCATATATAGTATGGATTATACACTTGAAGTAGCACATGACTGCACTTTAAAATTCAAATATGTTTTAACATGGAAAGGGAAAATACGAGCACATAAGATATCCAGACACCAAGTCACTGACACAGGCAGGAATGCCAGGCAGTTCCTACTCACCAATGCTCTGCCCATCATCCCAGAAAAGCCATCCTTCAGCAGTTCCCGCATCATCTAAGGCCACCTTGAAGCCCATGAATTTCTGACGGCTGCCATGAGGTGGGAGAGAGGCATTAGCTACACTCAAGCCACAGTCACAAGCCAAGAATATTCATTAAAGCAAAGGAGCAAAATGAAGTGTTAAGGAAGGGCGTGAAGATATGACGTGTTGTGTACATGCATTAACTTCCCACGAGGAACATAATCTTTACGCCCTGCAAACATGTGCTCTAAAGAAATGAAACTTTAAAAATGGAATGCTAAGATTCGACAGACAAGGGAACTCGGTCTGGTTCAGTCTCCATGTACCCGGATGGCTCCACCTCATGAACAAATGAACTTCTAAATGAATCAAAAGGGAATACCTGTAAAGTTTTTGTTTGTTTGTTTGTTTGTTTGATTTTTTGGTACCAGGAATCAAACTCATCGTATAAAGTTTTTAAAGAAACTAAGAGCAAAATAATTGAGTTCCTTCCTTCCTCCTAGTAAGAAAAATTCAGATGCAATAATCCTTTTCTCATGACCCATTTCCCAAAACACTATAGTAAAATCTGCTTAGAAATATCTTAAGTCTTCAATTTCCCTGGAATTAAATGAGCAAGAGTTTATGCACTTTATCAGTGATATTAAACATACATTCAATTTAGTCTCTGTTCATCTTCTTACTAGCTTTGTGACTCTGAGTTAATCACTTTGCATCTTAAAGCTTCTCTTTGCTCATCTGTAAAATGGAGATAACACTATATATCTCAAAGGACTTTTTCTTTTATTAAAAAACAGAGTATCTCCAAATAGATCTCCTCATTTTGGTACAGTTCAAGATACAGAGAAAGCACTCACCTGATGTTAGTTGTTGCCAGTTATTATATAGACCTAGGTGAAGTATTTTACAAAAGGAATCTCAATCTCAGTATCAATTGTTATATAGCTTAAATAACTATTCAGCAAGTGCTTTCATAGGAAAGAGTCAGATAAGATGCAAACTTCTAAAACTAGCATGAATTATAATTGCTCCTATTTTGACTTCTGTTTCAAATGTCACTTATTAGACCTATATTCCCACCCACTTAGATATAAACATTGTGAATAATTCCTCAAAGAGTGCAGAGTGTGAAAACAAAGCAAATAAATATAAAAGAAGAGTTTAGAAAATTGCTTTTTGCCTCAAGAGCGATGCTTGAAGCTTTGGTGGCATTCATTACAAATTACTGAGTCAACCAGCATGCAAAGCAGGGCCCAGGTCCATCATTCACCTTAAGTGAGTGTTCCGTGCAGGCTGCTGCCAGGGCAGGATGTAGCCTCCACGCACATGAAGATTAATGTGTTCAAGAGGGGCTGGCAAGTCCTTCCACTGTTCCCTTGCATTAATGTCCACACCCTGTGAGCAGAAGGAAAAGAGAGGATGAGGGGCAGGACACACACCTACCTCATCAGTGCATCTGGCAGACATCTCGTCTACCTCTCTGAACTTGCTGCCGGTTCACCACCACTCAGCACATGCCTGTTAGGAAACTTTCTGCATTCATCCCACCGCTATGTGACATCTGGCTTTGCTTCTGTAATGTATTGTGAGGGTCCCTTGCCTTTGGGGAAGTTCTACAGCACAAAGCATATAAAGTGCTAGGATGGATCACAGCCCACCTTCACTGCACAGCCTGTTTCTATGTCACAGGGCAGTGCTAGCAGAGGTTGTACAATCTCTTTATTCCCTTTTTGTTGGCACCTGGAGAACTCTCCACGACGGCATTCTTAGACCTTCTCTTTTACCAAGGTTAACTAAATCTCCATCTCCACTCACTGCCATCAACTTAACACAGAAAACAAATGTGTTTGCTTACTTTACATATCTTTAAGTTATATATATGCTTTTATGTTTGATGTATTTATCTTGCTTCATCTTTGACAATCTTTATCCCATGTAGTATGCAAGAAGTGCTCTGTCATCTGAGGTATAAACCTCAAATCCTAAAGGAGAATTCTTATACATATTATCAACTACAGCTGAGCTTGTCAGTGTTGGATCTGTTTGATGTTTAGAACTGACTAATTCTCGTTGTGTGTCTGCCCTGTGCTTTTTTGTTGTTTGCCAACATCTTCAGTGTCTACCTAATAAATGCCACTAGCCACCCCTCCTCTACCACATCATAACTACCTAAAATGTCTCCACACATTGCCAAATGTTCCCTTGTAGGAAAACATTTGAAAGCTTATTTTAGAATTAAGGCACAGTTATTATTAACAACAACTAAATGAATATGTGAGTGTGTCCTAATAAAACTTTATTTACAAAAACAGGCGACACCCTGATTGGTCTGTGAGTCATTGTTTACCAATCTCTACTACAGCACAAATATCAATAACTTTTAAGGATTACTACAGGAAACACTTCTTAATTAATTTCAATCATGTAGTCTTCATTTTAATTAAATAACAAAATTTTGTTTTCTCTAGGTGGCTTCCCCATCAACGTCTGTCCTTCCACATGATTTCTTTTACCAGGTCTTCTATCTTCTATTTAAAAACCTGTGTGACACTGGCCATTCCAGGAAGCTTTCCTTTGTTAGCCTGGTACTTTACTTTATTTCATGTGGTATATATAATTATTTACATATCTAATTAGCATGTGTGGCAAGCAAGTATTAGTTCCTCATTGCACTATGAAGTCCATAAGGCAATGTTTCCTCTGCCAGTGCTTGGAACTCCAGAAAATGGTTTGCACCTGGGCAAATGGAAGCTAGACTAAGTCTAGCAAGATGCCAAGGTTTTAAAATAAATGAAGCCCTCACTCTCAAGGTCTTGCAATTCAGGTCAGCCTTGTGATGCAGTACCTCCATAAACTATGTGTGCTAGATGATTCGCTAGCTTAATCCTAGTTATCCCTGCACAACAGAGCTTCAAATTCAAAAGGAGTGACTGTGTGTGAACAAGAGAATTAAGATGCAGAATCACCGTAGCTAGGGTCACATGGAAGATGTTTTCTCTCCCCAGAAAACCTTGGCAGGAAAGCACATAGAAAATCCTAACATGGTATCATCTTAAAGATAGATGTACATCAGGTATGGTGGTGCACGCCCGTAATCCCAGCACTTTGGAGCGTAAGGCAGGAGGAGAATTGCCATGAGTTCAAGGCCAGCCTGGGCTACATAAGTGAGTTCAAGGTAAGCTTGTACTACATAATGAGACCCTGTCTGAAAAAAAAAAAAAACAAAAAAAAACTGATTCAGCACAGCAATAAAGAAAGTCTGACTGGAGAGATTCAGGACTTCATGGGATAGAAAAAAGGAGCAACTCCACCCCACTTGGATGAGAGGGGCAGACACAGGCTTGGATTCTTCTCTTGGCTGCTGTAAGCTTCATATGTAAAAGCATGTGTGATGCTTAGACTTGCAAATGTCAGACCCATACCTCTGAGTGCATTTTCACAATGCCATTGTCACTATATGGAACAACTCTTCTTTGAGCATCTACGCAACAGCAGTAGATATTTAATAAAAAGGAACTTACAGGAAGAAAAGATATAAGCAAAAATTATAGTTTATAGCACAATTTCAAAAGTTCACAAGTGTCTGTCTTATACACCATTGTGTATGGTGATAGTATAAAGAATGATATAAACTCACAAGTCAATCCACACAAATCCAGCCCCTGAATGAGAGGTTTTATGCTTATCTTACAATAGTTCTGTGAAGGGGTGATCTGACTTAACTTGCAGATGTGAAAACTCAGACTACATTTAAAGTGACTATTAAAGACCCTATCGCAGGTGGCTTCCAAAGCCAGCATTTGGCCTGAAGACTGTCATATCTAAGGAGTTTGTTCTTTACCATTTTCCAAGATTGTAGAAATATTTAGGAAACTTACTGTGTAGTAATCATACCAGCGGGCTTCAGGGAAATATGCGTTGACATTTCTGGCATTCTGAAATTAATCACAAACAAGGTGAAGGGCGATAGCCATTGTGCTCTAGGACACTGTAACAGGCTTGCAAAAAAAGGTGTTACAACAATGCTGGTGACCTCATACCCACTTGCCTCAGCTCTTTGGAGATTAGCAATGCCTAGAAAGCCTTGCTTTCTTTCCCCCTTTTCACAAAGGAAATTTTCTTACCCAAAACAACCCAGGATATCATGTGTAAAAAAAATCACCATCTGCCTATGAACTAAACCCCTTCCACCTCTAGAGAGACACTTGCTCTTGGGTTTGGAGCAGAAGATCATGTAGATACAGTAATATCTGAAGGGAGTATCATGAACTGGTGTTATAATCACACGCCAAGTCATCCACCAAGGAAGTAAAGAAATAGCTGTTGCTGTCTGGAACACCTTATGGAAAGGAGGCAGGGCTTGCCAATAGCAACAGGATAGCCAGGCTGCTGTAAGCAGCAGAACCTGGAAGGTTCTGCATTAAGAGTGACAGGATTTTAATGAACTGTTTACACTATAGGCCTGTATTCCTTATTTTAGTTAATGTACTAATGATATATTCTCAAATATATGATAAAGTTGTTTTGTTCTTGATGGTGCTTTGAACCATAACAATTAGGCTGACTCTTAACATGGAGGTGGGGCCAGAACACCTTAGCAGTGGACTTCTGCTCAGAAGAAGATGGAAAGACAAAGGTGGAATAAGAAATTGTCTCTCAGGATACAACCCCATGTACCAGGCTTGCTTTCTCTTCTAATGCGGTTGACCCACCCTCACCACTGGGACCCACCACCCAGCAGAAGCATTGTGATAGTTTAGATTTAGAATGTCCTCCCAAAGTTCATCTGTTCACATGTGGGCTTTTGGAAGGTGACTGGATCATGGGTGTGCTGTGCTCATTAGTGGGTTAATCCATTGATGAATCTTTAGCTAAATGTGCTGCTTTTAAAAGGTGGGTCACTGAGATTGTGACCTGGAAGGGTGTAATTCCTTCCCTGACTCCTCCCTTCACTCCCCACTTCCTGGCCTGGATGATCAGAGCAGCTTTATTGCATCAGGCCCTTTAAGCCATTTATACCTTGAAGCCAGACAATCCATGATCATGCATGGATTGAGACCTCTGAAATTACAAGTCAAAATAAGCCCGTCTGCCTTTAAGTTGTGGGCATTGCTACTGTGTCTCAGCAAAGAGGAAAATAAGTAAGCCAGGCATCCACACTCACAGGATCCAAGACAGGGCTGACCAGCAAAGCAGGGCCCAGAAGGAACTGTCTGTCTATATCCCAGGTCACCCGGTCTGATACAAATCTGGAAGGGAAAAAAGTGACACAATCAGACCGAGAGGAGGACCCAGCCCAAAGCCCTAAAGAAATTCTCCATGTTCAGATCCAGTCAGAAATCAGGTTGCATACTCTGCCATCCTCTTTCCTATGCTTCATCAGGAACACCCAGCCCCTAGTCTCAACAGGTCAAGTTCCTCTACGTTGAAAGCTGATTTAGTTACATCCTCTGCTATAAAACGCCTCTATAAAACATGACACATTTCCAGTGCAATACACAATTCATCACACAAAGCCTGTCTTGGTATGCATTTTGAAGTAACAAGAACTCATACTCACTTGAGGTAATACGTTATTGAAACTGTTATAAAAGATAGGGAAAACTGCATAGCCAAATGCAAAAAAGTTATGCTATCTGTGCTGTATTTTAAAACTAACTTTTTTATTCAATAAATAGCTTTTCATCAATGACTTAAAGCATGTGGAATACTGTACTGAGAGAAGTAGTAAACTACAGTTTCTGTCTAGAAAGAGCTTCTGATTTAAAAAAAACCATTTCTTCAGTTTGAAGGAATGGTCTGCATTCACTGCAGAAAAAAAATAAATAACTTATCCATTAGAGAACAGGGTCCCATCTGGACACTCACTCATAGAGAAGAGGCCTCACAACAGTGATGCCCTCCACGTGAGCCTTGTACATCAAGGTATAGAGGTACGGCAGCAGGGTGTATCTGGTCTCCAGCACATTTTTGGAAATATTCACGAAGGCAGCGTCCCAGGACACAGGGTCTTGTCTCTAAAGGAGGAAAGGAAGTCTTCAGAGTTCATGCAAGAGGAACTGGGGAAGTTCAGAGAATGTTTTTCCAAGTGCCTCACACACAGTTAAACTAAAGTAGAGTTGAGATTCCAAGAATTTTCTTACTAAACTGGAAATTGACATAGACCCTCTCCCAGAAAGAAAATAAAATTTTCCCATCAGACATTCTTCTTGGGATGCATTAGGAAGGCTCTTTCTGAACAAAAAAATCACCTAAACAATACTGAAGAATGTGGTTCATTGAAAGGAGGGTTTAACTGTTTTCAAGACTTCCCTAGGTAAACACTTGGCATCAACTTAGCTCACAAACACTTGCATACTTTAAGTGAGAAAAAGAAAAGCAAAAAACAAACAAAAAATGGGCAGCACTGAGGTCCTACCCTGGTGCCAATGGTGTTGTGGTTCCTGGAGAACGGGTAAAAGGCCCCCAGCTGCATCCAGCGAGCACACATCTCATACTCAGCATCTTGAAAGAACCCACAGATATCTGCCCCTGTCTGAAACAAGACAAAACATAACAGGCCTTTGGTCATTTCTGAAAAGTGCCACCATCTTGTAGGCAATCACGAGGAATCTGAAGGCCACTTACATAGGATATGCCAAAGAGGCTGAACTCCATCATGCCTGCAATGAGAACCACATCTGTGTCAGGCAGGCATCAGGACCTGCCTGCTCCTCCTCCCTCACCAAGGATGTCGCCTCCCTCCCTGTCACCAAGCCCTGGAAACAGGCCCAGGTACCAATGATAGATTTCCTCAGCTGGTCCCACGCGGCCGTGTTGTCCCCCAGCCAGTGTCCTGCCCAGCGGCCAGAAGAGGGGAATGTGGAGCGGGTGATGACGATTCCTCGCTGTCCTGTCACCTCCTGCACAGCTCTGGTTGGAGGAGAATAAGGAAGTGAAATGAGGCCAGAGCAGAGGAATGAAGGTCATAGAGATTCAACCTCCAGATCCCTTGGTTAGGGCATGCTGATGGCTGCATGACTGGGGGAATATAGATAACTGAGCCACAGAGACATCGGGCTCACTAATACAGATAATAAGAGCAGTGGTGTCTTTCATAGTGTTTTACAAAGAAATTCATCATATAAAAAACCCTGAACTGTCTCAAAATAGTAGACAAGCACCTTGCTATTTATTTACCATTTGGTTTCCTATATTTGCTGCTGAATACTATAAATTACTTCTTAAGAGTTTGCTTAGAATAATTTTTACTCTTTCAACTCACAGTGAATGTTTGCCAATTCAACAGTAGAACCGAAACATCTACCAGGAAAGGGGAAGAGAAATCCAACAAAGATGATTCATTTTTGGAAAAAAGGAGAGAGATCCCCATTGGGACTATTAGTTTCTCACTGATGGGATTACTCCTCAATTAAGCATGTCCTCCCAATTATAGTCATAGGGTCTGGCTCCATGCTCAAGGAGCATGTCCTTAACAAGTCAGAATTGTAAATAATTCTAAATAAATTTTCTTGATGCTTAGAATAATGAATAAAAGCAAAGTAAGAACCTATGTCCCTCACTAGACGTATACATAGGTCTTGTCAACTAGGGAAGGGAAAGAACAACTCACTCATAGGTGGGCCTGGTCTGGGACCATCCATACAGGCTGTGCACATCGTAGTGACGTACTCTGGAGCCATCTGGAAGGATCTGCTCACTCTCCATGCACAGGGTCTTGCTGCTTAGGCCCCTGTCCCTGGCCTCCAAATCTGAGGGGATGATTGTGAACAACAGCCTTGTTACTTTTAGTTCCTGATTGATCTTTAAGGATCTGAGCTATGGATCATAAACTAATTCCCATGGGTTCTTCTCCCACTTCCCAGAGGCAAAATACTGTTTGGTTATGAGCTCCAGTGGTGGCAGCATCATGGTTTTCAACATTAACTCCAATGGAAAAAGTAGATGCTTGAGTGCAATGAAGAGGGTAGAACACAGGGTTGTCAAACCCCTTCTACAGATATAGGCTCTAGTGTAGGCCATGAACTTGTAAACTATTTCATATAATCTTATAATTCCATGAACATGATAGTGTTATCTGCCTCTTAACAGTTTAGGAAGTTGAGACTTGAAAGTATTGTGAAACCCAAGGTAGGTCACAGAACTCAGAAAACAAGTAATTTTTAGATCTAAGATATAAACACAAGTTTAACATCAAAATTCATGGACTACAAGATGCAGAGAACCTTCTCCTTCGGTCTTTCATGGCATAAGATTTTCCTATATGTAAATTAATACAAGCCAGAAAAACCAAGAAACATAGCAGTAGGAATCCTTTGAAGACACTGCCATGTTAACTGTTTTCTATCCTAATTAGAGAAATTGGCCACTACAAATGTACTAACTTCCATTTGTCCAACTGGGTAAAGTGTTGAAAGTGGTTTGGTCTATGAGCCCTTATAAACCACAGCATCAATTACGGCATGCTCTGAATAATCAGCCTCATCCTCTAGATGCTGGGCACTTCCAAAGGTCACCCTACTTCTATCCAGTGATTCACAGCTGGAGGAGGTCCAGAGTTCTTACATGGCATGTAGGGAGGACGATTCAGAGTTGCATCTGTGCAGCCTGAAGGGACGGCTCCATTCACAAAGCTCGCAGGTTCATTCATATCCTACAACACATCAAACATAGGTATGGCTTACACTCAAAGATAATTAAGTATGTTCTGCCCATTCTGAGATAAGAAAGCAGTGAATAAATCATTTAATATCTCTATAGATGCTTGCTCAGGGAAGCTATTCATATCCTGGAGAGCATTACTCAAATTTTCACTTAAGCTGTACAGGATGACTGGCCAAATGGTTAAATCAGATTCCCTCAAGGCAAGCAAAGTTGTAAACATTTCCTAGTATTGGCTGACGATGTTTTACAGCAGGAACTTCAGGTGAGGTACAAGGCTTGAGGTGCATTAAGGCTGTATCATGCAAAAATGGGCAAGTGTATTTACTGGATGACAATTACCCTGTAAAGGACAGTGTTTCACATGCTAAGACAAAAGATAGACACACATCTATGCACATGTACACACACAGACACACACACACACTTACAATCCACATGCCGTCAAACTTCAAGCTCTGCTCTGGATTCCGTGGGTTGCTGTAGAGCTCTTTAATTTCCCTCTTCCACCACAGGACAGTTGAGTTACGGAAAAAGTCTGGGAAGGCCACATAAGCGCGGTATTGCTATAAAAACAAAAGATAACTCATTTCTGCCAAATGAATGTAATAAACAGCAAACAAGCATTTACTTAGAACTTAACTTGTGCAAAGACTTTACTACCTGGTGGAGATAGTGACAGGCTGAGCAGAGCCAGCATAGTGTTCTTGAGTGCAATGAAGAGGAGTAAGCACAAATCATATACCCTAGAGTCTGGAAAACACCCAGAAACTGTTTTCCTCTACATATCAGTATGAATGGCAACAGCAACCTCAACTCATACTCTGATGCTTTAGATGCTCAGCCTCAACTTCTGTTCTGATTTTTCCTAAACTCTTCTCAAAGGCAAGGCAAGAAGCAGAAAGATGACAAGGAGAAAGAGTAGACATGAGATGTACTGTAGCAGGCTAGAATGAAACATCCACTATGAATGAGAGGAAAGGATGCAATTTCGTGTCATGACATTAGAGTACAATGCCTGTTTCTGTGTTTCCTATGGTTTTGAGAATCACAGGAAAATTTCAGCTGTGTGTAATGTGAAGAGGGAGGACCTAAGAAGCAAATTTCAACCTCCCTCTCTCTTCATGTTCCCACAAATGATAAAAGTAATGTGCTTATCATACCAATTGGTAGATACAAGATATCACTCTGTATTTATGCCATAAGCTTTTAGAGAACAAGAACCTTATCTTATATTTTTCTGATCAATTTTCTTGCACCCTACAGTACATAGCTAAGATCCTGATGTAATATGAACAAAAAAATAATAAGTACTCTGTTTAGTTATAGGTTAACATCACCCAGCAGCATCAAAAATTCACAAACGTTTCTGTATGCCATGTGGTTCATCATAGGACATGATGGTAGCTGTAGGTCTCTATAAATAGACTCCTCTATGTTAATCACTCCCCTATAGTAGTCAAAAAGCACCATATTACTAGGGGTGCGGTAGGAGGAACAGCAGAAAGAGGACTTGACCTGGGGTAATTCTGATACACAACAAAAATACCAAGGAGGAACCCATGAGTCTAGATAGAAGGGAAAACAGGAACACAAAGAAAATAAAAATGGATCCTCCTGTATAAATCTGACTTATAGAGACCGAGGTTCCACATCACTAGAGATATTAGGAAGTTTCTTCTTAGAAAATAAAAGTAGAAACCATAGAAGTAGGAGAACAGGCCTTTTCACTACAGAGAGCTTCAGCTCAGGCAAGGTCAGAAACAATGGCATATGTGTGTGTGGAGGGGCTGTGTCCAAGTCACAACTGTATCTTTAATACAATACAAGTGGGAAATTAAGCCAACTATGTTTTATTAACTCCAATTATTATTCTCTGACAACTCATATCCATGTAATGAAAACTACTGCCATTCTCCTAAGTATGGGGTCTGCCTTCTCCTCTCAGAACTCAATCCTTGCCTTATTGTTCCTGCCATTATTTACCTACACATGAGCCTTGAATGGCTAAACAGGGCTACTTATGCAAGCCCACTGCATGCTACTAAAATTAATTACTGGACTGAAATAAAACTCCAAACGTCATTGCAGAAATTTGCTTTTCATAGGTCTTGGTTCTTGGTTGTTTTGAACCACCCCCAGCAATGTGAGACATGGACATTGTCACACCAAGCTCATAGTTGGTATTACTAATATAAATAGTTGTAACTATTCCATCTACTAAGAATCTCTTATGATCAACCTAACAAATTCTGTGAACCTCTAAATGAAGGGTTTCTTATCAAAGTCACAATTGTATCGTTTGAACAAAAGAATCTTTGTGATGAGTACCCTGCAACCAGAGCCCTGGACATACGTGGTCACTACCCTGTAAATGTCACATGGAGTTTCCAAGTCACTGGGAGAACCAATACTGCTCCACAGATTTCACAATGACCTTGTGATTAGGGACAGTATTGGACTTCATGACTGAGGAACTGTAGGTCTCATATGACCACCCCATGACTGATGCAGTGGCCCCTCTACCAGTGTAAAAATATAAAAGTCAAGGAGCCTGTGTTTGAAGGTCACTGGTGTCCGTGTGGGCTGCCTGAAGCACCAACAGTCAAGTGTTCTCATGTGTGACAAGATGGAGAGGATAGGTGCCTATGTCTGTCCCTTGAATTCTCATTAAACAATAGATAGATAAGTGATAGATAGATAGATAGATAGATAGATAGATAGATAGATAGATAGATAGATCCAGACAGATAGATGATAGACACTTGTTCAAAATATGCAAAAAGAAAATCTTGAACTGTATCTGAAACACTCTTGCAAATTTGTGAAATGTACTCCAGCCAGCTTCTGGTTTTTCCTCCTGCATTTACTACCAAAAGATAAAAATCACAGTATATACACAGTTCTATTGAACCAAATCCCCAGCATGGGCTCATAATTATGCATAGAGAGTGCTCCTCCTGCCAGTTGTGATCCAGATGAGAGACTCAATCAAAGGCAATTTGTGTGTCACTCGTTTACAGTGCTATCTATATAGCCTCCTCTGTGGGAGTTGTCCCAGGCCAGAACCTTTGGTCCTACACAATGCTACCTCTGTCTACTGCCTGTTTCCCTCTAGGACACACTGCTTTTCCTGACATTTAACTTCCCTGGCTAATGCACGAACACTGGATTCAATACCTCCCAGTCTTGTTCCTAGTGACTGGAGTATATCTGTTACATATATTAATCCATCAGATAGAATACTACTAATGATAACTCTCAGAAGGCCTCTTGACTTTGGGCTTTGAGTGGCTACTACTAGAATTTAAAACTGCTATGCTTTATTCACACTGATTTATATCTATTAACTCTTGCTCCTGATAAAGTTCCTAGATAGTACAACATACATCACCTTGCTGATCACATGGAGTACAGATTCTGAGTTCCTATGGTCCTAGTCAGGGGACTGAAAAAAAGCTTTTTCTTCTATTTAAAGTGACTCTGTGACAGTTCCATTGGCTACACATGCCCTGCTACAATTCATCTAGAAAGAATGATCATTGGTGAAGAAGAGATAAAAGACAAAGTAAGGTTTTTACTCTCAAGAAGGAAGAAAGCCCTACTTTCAGGTACTATCAGAACAATAGATAACCCAGACAGCCCTGCTCACAGATATTATCAGAAAAGTGAATAAGAAAGGTACATCTGTTCACTGTGCATATATCTTGAGCAAGAATGGGGTGGAAGCTTCCTAGACTAGTAAGGAACTATGCACTCATTTAGGTGACAAATGTTTAATAAAGCTGAAAAACATTTATGTGCACCTGTATGGGTTGCTGGGATGCATAAAAATCAAGAATCTGTTCCCAGATGAGATGAAATTTTATCAAAGACTGGAACTTAAGGAACAAAAGGAAAGTAGAGAAATCCAAGTTTCAATCAAACTAGGGGGCAGGACTTATACACGTGAAGGTATAGAAGAATAAAAGAACAAAAGATGTACAGAGAAAAAGATTCAATAACTAAAGACAAAGGTTGGGAACTGTACTTAAGAGAGAACACAGAAACAACAACAAAGACACTAACTCTGAGGGAAGTAGCACTCCTTACAGGTGGTGCCCACTGACTATTCCATGGGCCTTTGGAATCTGACAGCTTTTGGGATGAAATTAACATTGTGCCTCCTAAAGCGAAGGATAAAAATTTAAGTTATTTTCACTGCCACTGGAAAGGGAACATTACTGTATGTGACGTAACCAGCACACGGACTAACACCCTGGACATAATTCCTAAGTGTTTCTCCCTTGCTACACCCAAGTGCATGGCAGGGGATTTTCAGTAATCGGGATGTGGCTCCTCCTTCCTGGCAACCCCTCCGCCAACATCCACAATGGCTCTCTTACCTCCACTTGACTGTCCCAGTCGAGAGAGGGGTCAATGACAATATCAGGGAAATCAGGCCAGACCTGTGGAGAAACACAAGTTTAATAGCAATGCACCATGCAATTTCATATATATGGCATTTTCCAAGAAAACAGAAACTACTGTCCAAGGGTTTGTAATACTTCCCTTGTCTTGGATGCCTGATCTGGAGTCAAATAGATTCTACAAAATTCTTAACTCTATCAACTAAACTTAATTGAAAAATGAAAAGTATGGGCTTCGGATCCCAAAGGCAAAGGACCAAGAAACAATATGTACAAACACACTACCATATCTTAGCGCCTGCCCCAGGCCGGAAATTGGGGGAATCACCCCTTGGTCATACCTTTCCCCACACAATGCCTCCATCATTGGGATACTTGATGAAGACGTCATCAGCCACACCCCGAGTGAAGGCAGGGTAGGGCTGCGTCTCATTGCCAGAAATGGCTGGGTCCTGAAAGCAAAGCACAAGTCAGGTGGGAAAACCACAGGCAGGGAAGGACAAGGGGGCAGCAAAAAGGGACATTTAGGAGACAGGTGTCCCTAGTTTCCATCTGAACTGTACTGTATCCGTGAATCCTAGGATATACAATAATTGTTGTGTTTCAGTTTCTCTTCTTGTAACAGGAAAGTAGATGCAGCATAATGTGTTCTCCACCAAAGCCCGGCCAGTGCCCAAACAAACTAATCCCATTCTCATGAGGACTAACCAGAATGAGGATGACCCGCATCCCATCGGCCTTCATGCGATCGATCAGATCTGGCAACCCAGCAAACTTGGGGCTGAGAGTGAAGTCCAGCTGCCGCTCCATGTAGTCGATGTCTGAGTACTGCACATCCTGTGGGAGGACACAGGGAAACCCAGGGGCTGAGGGTGGTGCAATCCACTTCCAGAAGGAAGCAACCGTCCAATATTGGTGGTGAAGTTAAAAAGTTTTTCCTGGCTCTTTTAAATCTTAGGTCTATCATTTGTTTAGTATGTGCTACAGGAAGTTTATCTAATTTTTTCAGATCTTAAGTCATAACATAGAAATAACATAAATCAGTAAGCCATAGAATGATAATATCTATCTGGAAGAGCAGTTATGAGGATAAATAAAAACTCTGAATGTGAAAATTATTTTGAAAATTGCAAATATAAACAATGATTTTCATTACTTTCCCCAAGTGTCTGCCATTGGGATCACAGTGGTTCATATTCAGAGAAAACTGTGTGAGCAACTCTCCAGTCATAGCACAATATTGACAGAAAACTAGCACAAAACAAAATAGCACCTCGTTATTACTTTGGAACATCCAATCTCGGTGGAAATCAGACACAATTTCTTATTATGATGAAATACAGTGTGACAAACTTTCAATTAATGAAACTATTGTGAACAATAGAAAAGTAAGTGATTAATTTTGTATGAAAGTGCTCCATGGAGTATTTCTGACTGTTGTACCCTTTTGTTCTCCACTGAGGCGTAGATTTTGATTCCATGGATACTTTCTCTAAAATGCATGTCAGAATGCCCATATGCAGAGCAGATAGAATGTAGCCTTGCAGCTGCTAAGCACTCAAACTGAGGACAGATCTCACCAGTAATGGTCTAACTGCATTGGGGTTCATTCTTCTTGATTACCGCAAAACTAACAGTTAACATTTTTCTCAGCACTGGTGAGTAAACCTAGAGCCTTGCACATGCCAGCTAAGTGCACTCCCATTGGGCTACATCCCTAGCACTTTTGGGAGGATACTACTTTAAGGGAGGATTTTGATAAGATATCTAGGCTGGCCTCATGCACAGCTAGAATCAGTCACCACATTTCATTTGCTGAGTCATATTTTATTCTTATGGAATCTGTTGGGACTAATTGGTCTCTCAGTGTATCCCAGGGAGGAAAGGGGGCTGGAAGAAGGAAAGGACAGACAAGAGATAAGACCTGGGCCAGGTGGAGGCCTCTGTACTGGATGAGCAAGAGAACTGAACAACAACAGCAGAGGGGTTTATTTATACTCTTGCAAAGTTAGTATTACAAGACACAAGGTTGCCTAGCAACAAATAACTGAAATTGTGCAGGCAGGATGCTTTTCCCAAGACTAAAGTAGCTTGACTATTTAGGCACTCTGGCTCTGTCTTGCTCTCACACATATGACCAATTTCCAGCTTCAGCTCCTCCCAACAAGAATCAAGAACTTTTTGACCAAATCTTCTGAAGTCATGTGAGGGGAATAGAAGGAAGCATGTACAGCAGAAAAAGCCTTGCATCACCTTGGTAAGAAGGGACAGGGCCCATCTGCATTACAGTGCTGGGGTGAGGCGTCATGTGACCTCATGTGAGAAAGAAC